GGAAAATAATAAATCTGGAAGAGATGTTCTGATAGTTAAATATTCCATTAATCCTGATCCCTTCATAATTTTAAATAAAGCCAAAAGAACAATATTTTCAGAATAAAGTTGACACGTTATATTTTAAGGCTTCTCATCAGTTGCAAACGAGCTAAATTTTTATTACATATCATTACCAGTAAAGATTAGTACGAAACGACATTAAAAAACACAGGAGGAAACAACATAACAGTTAAGATTTATTGGTATTTATATGTTGAAGATGAAATGATAAAAAAAGAAGGGGTGAAGTTATAAATGATAATAAAGAGACAATGAATCAAAACAGGCTGCCACCAAATGACTAACAATCAAGGCCTCTGTTTGATACAAAATTAAAGTTAATTTCATTTTGTCATACTTCAAAATAAACTTCTTTGTGTATCCACTATTTATATCACTTTTTTATATATTTATTGTAATCAATGTGAAACTTCTAGAAGAGAACATTTCGAAAAGCATGGAGAGAAGTTTCTAGAAAATAAGCAATGCCGAAGTAACTCAATAACGTTAAAAACTGTATAGATTGACAAAGTAAAATAAGAGCTCATTAAAGACGCAAGACTGCAGAAAAAGAATTTGTAATTCGGAGCATGAAGTGTTACGAAACCAACCGTTGTAAGATGGAGTCATCAGAGTGATGCGAGACTGATAGGTGTATCATAATCAATTACTGAATTCGGTCTTAATCTTCTAATAAAGATGCTTTGCCAAAATGTAACAGATTGGAAGTTGTTTGGGCACTGGTTATTTTGAGAAATCCTGAAATCAAAACACCGTGCCCACTGACAAATAGATGAATGTTGATTGCACTGCTGAAAACATGTTGACCTTTTTTGTCTCAGTTAGTGTGGAATGTCCTCAAAGTTGCGAGAATGAATAAGTTCGTAATAGAGTATTATTTTCAGAAGGTATGACACCAGTAAATCTATAAGTTACTTTGCTCGCATTTATTAGAATAAAGAGCAGTATGTAAATAACTTGTGAACTTTAGTGCTATTTATAATGTCAGTTGATTCACGTCAGCTGACTGGATTCAACTCTCTCAATGAAAGACAGAAACCAAAAGTCTTTACTGAGATGCACTAAGCCACTTAATTATAGACTAGTTAACTTGTCCAAAACAGCTACATTTAGAAAATTGGACCGATACTTAGTAATGTAGTGTATAAACTAAAACAAACTTGATCATCGCTCACATTAAAATTACTTCGTCAAAACTAGATGCATAGTAAAGTTCCATACAAAACTTAAAGTATATGATTGGGTACGCTTTGAAAGCAACATTATTAACAGGACTGAAATTTTTAAAAAAACCGACATCACAGAATACATAAGTTAAAGCATACATATCACTCGATCCTATTGCTACTTTGAATTCACTTGTATGTAAAATTTATATTTCATACACTTAGTTGTATTGACTGTGTTATAATTGTTTTGCTAATAAACGACCCAGCTACTCCTATTGCTTAGTATTCTTATACAATAGCACTCGACAAGACCCCAAAATCAGAACACGTTGAACAGGAACGAAATTGTATTCAAAATAACAAGGGTAGGTGAACAGTAATCAATCGTTAGAAAAACGTTCATATATTTATAGTATATGCATAAAAAGCTTCTACATGTTTCTCCAATAATCTGCCAGAGCTGATTGGTTTAGAATTAGCCAATCAGCGTGCGCCGTCACGGTCATGCACAGAACGTGCCTTATCCCGTTTATTCCCCGCTAACAGACTGATAATGTGTTTTTACAGGTCCACATTTATCATTGGCTTGTAAATAAGCTGTTTGAACTAATTTCTTCTATAAAGATTTTATAACACTACATTTTTCGTATTTAAAAAAAATGATAAAATTCACCTATTTTTAATAATTTTTTTTAAAAAAAAAATTGAAACTGTTTCCTGAAATTAAAAATTAGGATAAACAAATTGACAAATTGAATACATCTTTGAAACTTCAATTGCAAAAAATGGAAAAACTTCAAAAATCAATTGAACAGCAACATTCAAAATCACAATCTAAACATGAAGCATTTAAAATGGCAAAAAGTTTATTAGTTGATGTACATGATAAAAAGAAAAAAGTAAGTTTAAATTCTACTACTGTAACAAGATAATTTGTTAGAGTGAATAAGAAATTTTCTAGCTGTAAGTAGTATATCAATATTTAATCTTGTTTTTAATTTATTAATTCATTCATGGAATAAAATAAGACTCAAAAAGAGATTTTTATTTCAGTAGAGGTTAAGCGCTTGCGCGCGAGACTGAAGCATCTAGGTCCGAGTTCCGCGGAGGGATCATAGGTGCAAACTGGTAAGGAGTACCGCACTGGGACGAAACAGCCGTCCAGTGCTTCTAGGTTTTCCATGATGGTCTGGCTTATATTGACCCATGGATTCAACCAATAACATTTAATTGTTAACAAAAGCATTGTAATACACGAGTATATTTGTCTAAAATTCAACTCCTTCGCAAATTCAACGAATAATAATTGATTAAATAAGACTTGGAAAATTAATAATATTGAATGTAATACTTAGTAAGTAAGAATGAAATTTTGACTGAGAATGAGTCGAAAATCATGAAAATGGCATAAAGAAATATGAAACTGTCGAGTGATTTTAACATTGATCCTAATCATACATGTGGTAAATTACCAAAACAGAATATACTACTTAAATAGTACTACCTAAACTTAATCTAACTCGGTAATTTATATACTCTGAAGAAGTGGCTTAGAACTAAGTCACAAATATATTTTTCTACTGATTGAGATATAACGAAAAATATATTTATTATTAACTAAATACCCAATTTTTTCGAAACTATCTAGTCCAACCTTCGCATTGATATCTATAAATAATATTCTAGTTTTAGTGGTGACTTTACCTACCATTTTCCTTGCAAAGCAGAAGTAACCGAACTGCTTTTAAGAGTAGCAAGATCTCATTGATGCCTTTCTTATGAAATATAAAAGGATATGTTATGCCAAAAAGCTGTACTTACGAAACCCTTAAATCACTACGATATTTCATTGATTTGTAGTAGCGTCTTACTCTTGAGTGCGAGCACAGCAAAAGAAATGAACAACTTTCTCAGTAAACAAGTGATATTACTCTTTATAGGCCACTATTATTTGGTCACAGGACTTATTTCTTAATGATAACAGACAAAAAATAAGTGACTTAATACTGTAATACACTTTATTCAATACTGAAACTTTTAGCAGTCAATAATAAACCCTAAATTTAATATGGGGCTACTTAAAGCAATATTCTGTTAACATTACGTTGCTTAATATCCAGTGGTTAGTTAGTATACAAATCTAGTCCCACAACGTTCCGGTCATACTGGATATCATCGGAAATCCCGAAATTAATTAGAAGAGATTCAAATCCAGTCTCCTTGACGCCATGAAGTTTGAGTATCCCTACAAACATTGCCAAGTATTAGCATAACACTAGTTATTGTTTTCTTTTTAAAAGCTTGGGACATTTCGGGATCTTATCGGAAAAATGTTGGATGTGGATACACGGTTTTCCCCAAATCCTGATATGATGATATTTCAACGGCTTCAACAACTGATAGACTTTGCAGTTTCCAGCCGTTTAACATCAATTCAACCTGATATAACAACTTCATTTAGTAACACCCATAATAATACATTTTATCCTTTTGTAAATTCTTCGAAACCAACTCTGAGTCAAATCCCCATTAAACAGTTAGGTTCCACGTACACAAACAACTTAGCTCTACCGCTATGGGATCAACATCGTGAAGGTAAGGAAAGGTGTTTATGAACTCTGTAATGAACAATAAGCAGTCACATAAATCGCGAACGGCGAGTCGTACATACTAATCTTAGTTACTGTTCTTTTATGATATCTAAATCAGTACTAAACTTTGTTAGCCATCTTATCAAATAGGTAAAGAGTGGACACTTTTAATGGCCTAAAAAATAGGACATAGAATAACATTAAATTTTCACCAAGCAGTAATGTGGTCACAGTTCTCCCTAAATTAAAACCACTAATATGAAAGCTAACTTTCACAACTTGACTCAATAAATCAGGATTCATGGCTATATTATACATCTTCGAAGGTATTAATTTTTAAATTCAACCACACTCCTAGTTCACACGAAAAATAAGCTAATGCAGATGGATAATGCCTCAGACAACAAATACGATCACCCCCTAAAACATCTTCAGTCGAGCACTGATAAAGTAGAAACTGAGACATATGTGCATAGGTTCAACTAGCCACAGAACATTATCTCACTACACTGGAGAGATATCAAAAGACAGCGCCTTGTCTGTGACCATAAAGAATCATTACTAAACGAAAATATGATTATCCACTAAAACTTTTAGCCAATCCGAAATGGTGAGAAAAAACGGTTGGATTATTTAATAGAAAAAATAAACAAGACTATTGGTAATATGAAGTAGTCAAATCTCTGACTAACAACTACAAATATTTATTTCTAATGTCACAATTGACAAGGGTTTTCTGGAAAGTATGTGCATTTTGATGAACATTCATCACCACACCAGGCAAACGCTGTGTAATTTGAAAATAAGTATCTCACTCCTCTTAGTTACTGCTTAATAATGCTAGAATTTCAGTAAACTTTAGTTAATGCAAGAAAGTTATTATTATTTACTAATTCTAATATCCAAATGCCATTGAATTTTTTTATAAAAAATGATGCCTGTTGACGTATGTACTTCAATTTTAAAGAATAACCAGTTTTTTCGAAATCTTCATGAGTACTACGGTGTTTTCATTACGAATAATTTGTATTTCTTTAACTATATACATCTCGTTCAGATCAAATTCATTACTTTCCAGTAAATCCAATTAGTTAAATGGATTATCACTTTACTTGATTTTCATGTTTGTTTTAGGCCACTTGGACTTACAGTCGAAACACCAAGGGAAAATTAGACCTACATCAGATGAAATGACTCAAGTTGAGAGTGAGAAAAAACAAATACATCGACAAAGTGTGCAAGAAAATAAATCAAAAGCCTCTATCAAATCCACATCTAATGTACCAAAGAAATCAGAACCCCGTATCCAAAAGGATGACCGTCAATACTAGGAAAATATTCACATCACAATGCTACCTCAGGAAGTAGGCATTTTATTTAAAATACCTCGAAAATACTTATGATACAAACAATAGATTATTGCACAAAATCCAAACCTTTTAACTTAAAGTAAGAATTGGGAGTAGATCTCATGTTTAATGCCAACTAGACATAACAAGCCTATAAACAAACAGTAAAACGAAAAATGTCACTTTCGTTAACCGCTGTGGTCAAAACATTGATATTATTGAAGGTGGAAGATAAATTTATTTTTTTATAAATATATTTAAGCTAGTGCCTGAATGTGATGAGACATAGTAGGCATTATTGAGATTAAGAGTTACTTTTCCTACAGTAAAAGTAAATCAGTAGATGAACTTGCAAACCAAAACGATGTGGCTGCTGCATTATCGTATCATCGTATTTTGCAAACAATTGTAACTTTTATCAAAATCCAAAAGTTATGGTGAGGAAATTAAGATGACTATTCAAATCACTTTCACTCATATATATTTAAATAATCCAGTGAAGATAATCAGTTGAATTAAATTCATGTAGCAGTACCATCATTTGCTAAATAATTTGTGATTCATAATCTAATGGTAAGTGAATTTATAGGTAGCGCCCAATGAACATTACTAACCAGATACAGAAGTAAACATACTTTAGGAGAACAAACTATGAACGTTGGAAAATAAATTGTCATATTTTGAGATACAATAAAAAACTAGAATAATTGATTAAAAAACACATCAGGATCTAGGTCTGGGCTTAACAATAGAATGGAAAGAAGTTTTATTTGCGAAGTTTTGAATCCATGGGTGAGAGATGATTCCTTCCAGGGACAACCGATCCGTCGGATAACGTTGAAGGATCTGTGAAGATATTATAAATAAATGTATCACCGAAAGATGATGAAAACAAAATGGACTGAAAGTATATCAATATACACTAGATTGGTCAACTATATTTGAACGAACAGATGTGTTTTTGTTGAGATTTTGACAGGGCTAGAATTCAGATAACTACAGGTGTATTACCTAAAAGTGTATCACACAGATATTTACAGTATAAACACTTTCCATCTAATAATTAAAAAAACTAAATCAAGAAACTAATTAGACGCTGGTTATTATAACTCACCCGCGATATTAGAATGCGGTGATAAGACTTAAATGTGTTATCCGATTTGATCCAAAACTTTTAGCAGAAAGCAGCAACAACTAGTTGTATTATTAAGACGGGAAAAGTCAAATAGACTTCAACACTTGCTCCTTACATGAAAAGTTTGGTGGAACAAGAAGACAATCTAAACACAACGTCAAATTTCTGTCTTTAGAAAACCAACAGAAGTTTAAGTTGTCCAAGAAGTTCCGTTTAAATATCAGAAACTGAGTAAACCGACAAAGTGACCAAATTTCATTAGACGACTATCACAACAAAAAGTGATTTAGGTAGCATTGAGTATTTTATTACCTTTTGCATATTATGTGAAACACTTACCTTAAGACCATAACAATGAACTGAACAAATTACTTTGTAAATGATTCATGAAAGAAGACGAACGTTTTTCATAGGCTTTTACTTAAACCCTACCTAGTTTATTCAAAATTATGAACCAACCACTCGCTGACAGTGCTCGTAGATAGGCATGCATTTGTTAACAGCAACGAAGCGAGGGAGGGTCTAACATTGACTAGTCCAGATCAGATGATATAACTGTCACTGCTGAGAATTGTTTTACCATGAACTACTGATAATATTATTGTATTTATTTAAAAATACTGACAGTAATTAGAGAGAAGTTATCAAGTTTCACTTAAAGGATGTTATTGATGTCGTTTATTAAATTAAAAAGGTTAAATGTGTGGTGAGCTTATAATGATGAAACTTACAATCTCATTCGACAGTAAATTGTGTAAAACTAGTACCACAGACAATTCAATCTTAATGAGAACCATAGGCTATTGCTAATGGGTCAGCAATGATTTATTCCAACCAGAGAATAGCAGGTGACATTTAAGGAGGCAACAACTAACTGTCAACAGTTCCAAAACACTATTTAACATATCAAAACGTAGCTACTTTCGAAATGATTTATTATTTATTTATTTAAACACATAAATATTGGTACAATGAAGCACCAGATAAATATGCGCCTCACAAATCTCATTCGATTTGTGTGAGGGCTGTGATACTGCCCAGGTGCCAAGACTGAAGCAGGTGGTTTTCTTAGGGGGCCACACCCGGAGACTTTGACCTGAATGTCTGATCCACAAGGCAGTGGAGCATCGTAAAGACATGCAGTCCCATGGTAGCCGTTGATCAATGACAGGTTCGTCCGCCATTCGTTCCATCAGGATACTGAAGCCCGTGTGCACCATTGGTTTGGAATCAGGGTTTTCCAACTCCCCTAGGTGGACCCTCCGTGTCCACCAACCCGGTTAAAGCGCCGGACATTCGCTTTTCGAAATGAAGTGGTAAATTAAGGTGAATGGTCGAATGTTTTCATTAAAAGATATTAATGAAACAGACTCTACGTAATGTCCAAAGTACAACCACCGAATGAAGCTAAACTCATCAGGAGAATTTCAACTATAACCTGATTACCAATACTTACCGCTAAATATGTTAGGCAAAACACTTGGCTTAAAATAGTTTCACAGAACATTCTACATATGACTGTTGAGCACAAATAGTCTAAAAAGTATACACCTTGTTTCTCCACTAATTATTATTTAGATAATTTATCTTTGACAGTTAGTCATCTAGTATGATCCAAGAGCTACCTGAAGATGATTCCAACACGATCAGATAAGTATGTTCCAGAAATACAACCATAGGTGTCAACAGTACTTTCTGAAAAGGCTACTTTCCAAGTAAATGAGAAGGTGCCAATTAAAACTAGTGTGCTTTCATTTATTTACCTAAAGATCTGGAATAAATGTGATCTTAACAAGATATGAAAATGGGTTTTTAAAAAAAATTACGTTACTGTCTACTGAATTTTTATTATTTCAAGGACTTTATCCCTATGAACAGTAGTCCTTTGAATTATATAGCCAGACACTTCAAGATCATTTCCCTATACTTTAATTAGTATCGTCTTTGTTGGTCCACTTACTTTCGGTTGAATCAAACTACAACTCTTTAGGTGCTAATTATGATTACAGTAGACAGCTGACTCACTAGTGAGTTAATAGTTACTTGCTTGTGTTCACTAGAGTCCTTGAGAAAATATTCCCTGATATATCTCATATATAAACATTAAAAAAGGAACTAAAAGTATAAAAGCTTAGAAAATTACCTTAGATATCATGTCTTGTGCCATCGGAGTTATAACAGGAGGGAAGGTATATTTAACAGTTTTGATACAGGCATAAGTGTCTTGTGTATTAGGATGTTCAAACGGAGGTTTACCACAAAGCATTTCATAGCATAAAATGCCAACAGTCCAATGATCCACACGTTCATCATGGGAAACCCCGGCAACCATTTCTGGAGCTAAGTAGTCTATTGTTCCACAAAGCGTTCTTCTCCTACAAAAAAAGACGTTATTAGACTAAGAAAACGGAAAACAAACACCTGAGAGACTGAAATACAACCTTAACTATTATTCCCGATAAAAAAATACCCAATGTATCTTAAAATTAACACAACGTACGGGGTAATTTTTTAAATGATACAATTACACAACTTTAATGCCAAGTCGAACATACTACGTGGAATAATGCTAAGACAATGGGAAGACCGTTACGTATGCCCAACCACTGCCTACCTCGACGGGCGATGTTTTCTAGTGTAACAGTAGGCTGGAAGCTAGGGACGACCAAATCAAGACATGGTATCACTCCATGACGTTATTAACAATTGAACTGAAACGTGTACCTGAGTGTGATTCTCGTAACCAGCGGTTACAAATTTTACATGACCATAGATACCTTAGAAATGCTTCTCGCATCTGCTGGGATCACCGGGTAAGTAATAGTGAGGTTAGAAGCAGAGTACTGGGGAATGGAAGCAGGAAGCACCAGATAAATTATTTAAACACATAAATATTGGTACAAGGAAGCACCAGATATTAATGTGCCGCACAAATCTCATTTGATTTGTGTAAGGGCTGTGATACTGCCCAGGTGCCAAGACTGAAGCAGGTGGTTTTCTTAGGGGGCCACACCCCGAGCCTTTGATCTGAAGGTCTAGTCCACAAGGCAGTGGAGCATCGTAAGTAGATGCAGTCCCATGGTAGCCGGTGACCAACGACTGGTTCGTACGCCATTTGTTCCCTTTGGATGCTGGAGCCCATGTGCACCATTGGTTTTTAATCAGGGTTTTCCAACTCCCCTAGGTGGTCCAGCCGTGTCCACCAACCCGGTTAAAGCGCCGGACATTCGCTTCTCGTCCTCTCAAATTCGTAAACAACACCCTCGCCACGAGAATGCAGTGAGTAGGACTTCCATGACAGAGGCTATATATTCGCGTGGCTATGTGAGAGCATTTCGAGGGTGAGAGCGGACTCTCCCCACTCTGGGGAGTGATGATAAATAAGTCGGTGAGGTTGTGAATCTTCATCAACTGATATGGTTGGGCCACGTGTTACGTATGCCTGCATACCGATTACCACGACGCACAATGCTGACTAGTATTGAGGATGGCTGGAAGAGAGTTAGGGGAGAACAAACCAAAATGTGGCATCAGTGCTTGAAGTCATTAACTTTTAGTCTGAGCCATGTTGGTAGATGCAGACTACTTGATTGGGGTCCACGTGACTATCGTAACCAATGGTTGGAGACTCTGTGTGACATGACTCAGAATCGTTCACAATGGCGCAGGTGTATACACTCTCTATCTTCTCTTAAACTATAAGATTAAAATTGCCTTATATCTTTCCTTCTTCCTGTACTATATCTTTATATACAATCTTTCTTTTATATATTACCACCACTAAATTAACTACTATGAATTCGGTGTTGATCTTGTTGTGCTAATGAGGTACGGCAACTTGGACCGACGCATATATTTGCCTGGTTCTGCTTTGTAGTTGACTGACTGACTCAAAATCATTTGGAATGGTACAGGAGCATCCACTTTTTGTCTTCCCCCAACTTCCAAGCTTTTGAATTCTATTACTTCACTAATATTTTTTTTTCTGGGATCGTATCTTTGATGTCTGATTTTCCCGACTACCACTGATACTGCTACTGCTCTGATATTTGGGCTGACAATATCATCTCTTTGTGCTAATTGAGTATGGCAACTTGAACCGATCTACATTAGTACAGTAGTACCATTAAATATTCTGGAAACTACTGCAGATAACATACCAACTAGCAAACACAGTACAGTTGCTATAAACTAATTATACAATTTACATAGCTAATATTATCTCGCATAAATATTTAGCCTTTAAGTTGTGTGGATTGGTGTGCTAAACGTGTTATTGCTAATAGATAGGTGTTTGTAGTACAAGTATCATAATTAATATATGAATTAGTGTAGCCCACTGACTAAGAATTAAAGCCAACTCTCAGTTTAGTAGGACACTATCATTTCTTCAACTCCCTTTCACACAACCAAGTTTAATTTGACTGAGCAACAAAAGCTTTAGCACTTATAACACGTTCCAAGCTTATTATCTGACGGAAGTTCTTAATACCAATCATACTAGAAAGTCAGTGGAGTACCGTACAGAAAATACTAACAACAAACGCAGACAGTGCTTCGGGTTACACACATGTAATATCTCTCCCATCTTCAATTTCAAGCGGTCGGTACCTTATAGCTGAAGCGTATAATGGAAAGAACTGTAGTAGAATATGCACTATTCCATAAGCACACGAACAGCTTTCACGGGCACAACAGACTTTGCGTTCGTTAAAACATTCCGTCAATTATGTTGACTATCAGAATACGTAAGGTGACCGATTTCCTCAATCGGCTCACTACCTACAGTCAGACTAGGCATCCATACAGACGATTTTTCGAAAGACTATTTTAAATTTGCGAGGGTGAAACCCGTCCCAAGAATCCTTATATTGACGCACGAAACTTGAAGAATGCAATTGCCATATCGGTCAAACAAAGCTAACATTTGCACACTCCAAGACTATTGGGGAATCTGCAAGTAAAAGAATAGTTCCTAAGGAAGCATATACATAGCAAGATTGAAATGAAATAGAGGTTGATAGCTTTGAGGGACACGACTTGATATAGCTAAAAAATCTAATAGTTCATCAAAATCTCCAACGCAACTGCAACTGTTCAATTACATCCTTGACAAAGTGATGAAATTTTTTGGTAAAGAATTTAATGACTGAGTGATGAAACATAACAATTGACGGGATAAATAAATGAAGCCAGTTAGATAGGAGTATATTTACGTTCCGGAATTTTGATGTTGTGATTGGAACGATGCATGAACAATCGGGCCTCAGACCTATTTGGGTTTGAGTTTGCTATTTTAGTGATGAGCGACTGCAGAATTATTATGTAAACCATATTGGTGAAAAGCATAAAAACCCAGATAATTAACCAAACGTATATTTATGTACTGGACTTTGAGCCAGCGAAATATGTTCTAAGCAAGTGCATCAAAGATAGTAACTAAGGTGATTTGACTAACAGTGCATGATAATTCAATAGTCTAGATGTAAAAAGGAACCAAATGAAGAAAAATCTAACCTTGAGACCGTAAACTTATCGTGTTGATATCATTTAAATGCGTATCAATGTTGTTAGAACTTGACAGTGGGTCTTTCAAAAACAGCTAGAAAGCTATATGGCTGCCAAATGATTAGCACTGAAGTTAGGCTTTGGTCACTAGGTAAAAGCGGTAAATTAAGCTTCGAACTTTCCATGAAGTCGCTGATGTTACCCATGCCGAAACATAAATTCTGACACGAAAAGATAGAGAGTATAGAATTCCGAAAGTTTAGGAAACTATACCAATATGTGACACCAGTTTAAGTAGTCTTTCACAACATAATTGAACCACGTCTGGAAGTGCTAAATTCCTGGATAGGATCAGCTTTATAAACACAATCTACGACTGGTTCTTCGGCAACACAAAAGCAATTGTAGTGATGTAAGTACGTTCATTCTATATATTTTAACCTCCACTTTGCAGTCGGCTGACACCTTTGGAGCTAGTGTGGTTTATCTGTGTTGACGAGTAGTGTGAAGATGAGTTAGTATACATGTGTAGAAGTTCTAGTGTTGTTCATGACCGACATATATTAAGGAATACGTCTGGACTACCAGTACTTTAACATGAAAACTAGTTGAAAACTTTTCACCTACAAACACATTCTATTGGCTGAGGTTGAAGAAGACAGCTTATTATGGGACAAGCAGTCTGTTACAAAACCAGCTGTAAGTTTATTATAACTTAAATTACTACACTTAAGACAACATAGATGAGACAATGGAAGAAAAAGTCCTAGATAGTAATCTAAATATAACGAAAGCAAACCAATTTCGCCAGCCAGGATAAGTTGACAAAAAGTCAAGTAAACTGGTGAAAACAGAACCAAAACTTCCTATTCTAGTAACCAGTCAGAAGTACAGAAAAGCATCACTACAATACACCGATCTTTCGATAAACGGCAGATAAAGTGAGGTTAACACACTCACAAGTACATACCTGAGTGATGGAGCATGAACAGCCCAACCAAAGTCCGACAGTTTCAACTCTTGATGAAAACCAAGAAGTAAGTTTTCAGGTTTGATATCCCGATGGATTACTTTCATCCGGTGGCAGTACATAAGCGCGTCACACAGCTGATATATGTACTAAGAAATCAATAAGAGAAAGTGGAACTTACTGTAGCTGAACGCGCCTCACTAAAGCGTCCAAGTCTTCGCAGCTCAGTATACATCTGACCTAAAAATGCATACTCAAGGACCAGATATATTCTCTTGTGATCATGAAAATATGTGTACAGTTGAAGAATGTGAGGATGCTGCAGATGACACATGATTTCTATTTCGCGTCTTATTTGGTGTTCTAGTTTGTTCTTCACTATCTGTTTTTTGAAAATAACCTAAAGAATTTGTGTAAAGCTGGAAAACTTACTTTTATTGCACATGGGAAATGCGACTTTTTCGTTCTTGCGAGGAAAACAGTCCCGAACTTTCCACGACCAAGTTGTTTTCCAATTTCAAAGTCAGACAGAACACTTACACTACGCGTAACTTCCATCAACAACTAGGTTGTCAATATAAGCGCCTGAGCATAAGTATTCTGTCATCTGTGCGAATAAACAAACCAAGGTTGCATTTAATTCCGGTGATTCTGGAATTGTATTCTACTGCCGGAAGTATGTCAATTCATGTAAATAACTATAATTTAAGCCGTCTTAAGAGAAATAAAGAACTATATCTTCCGTAACCACTGTTTTCAGTTTCCGTTTCAGTTTGGAAAGGACAGGAGGCATGATGGTCTGTGTTAGTCCTGGCAATTATGGTCTCTCAGCTGATCCAGCTTTCTTTTGAAAGAGTCGACGGATGGAGACTCAACCACGTGCTGAAGTAATGAGTTCCACTCGTTGATGATTCGATGGGAAAGTCGGTAGTCAGCTGACAAGTAATTGGTACTGGGCTTGTGAACTTTCATGGAGTGTCCTCGTAAATTTTCTGTTTTCGGAGATAAGAAAATTGAGGGCATAACAGGTGCAAATTTATCACTAAGCAATTTGAAAACTATAATCAAGTCGCCTCTGATTCTTCTATATGACAGCGGGAATAGGTTAAGCTTGGTCAGTATAGGTTTCTGTATGGGCAGCAAATCAGGAGCTGCTAATTCCTTAATTGCATATATCAGTAGACTCTCTGTTCATTAGGGGCTACTCTAATAACAAACTGAGTAGTTCTAAACAATATCGACACTCAACAAGTTTCAATATGCTTTTAGATGGATGCAAATCTAGAACATGTGAGAATCTGCCACAACAAATTTCGAACCTGCAACAATTATTGGCTGCTTTACTATAAACAATGATGATCCGGACAGTTGAAGTTACTTTTTTTAATTTTCCGTACTATAGAACTAGTGAAATGTTGCTTCCCCCTATATATATAGCCTTCCAAGTATATCTTCGAACCCCTTCATTTCTGACTGCGTTGACATGCTCCTATTACAAAGGTGTTGTGGGTAAAGTCGTTGTCACACTCTTAATACCTGTGGCATCTTTATCTATAAGTGGCAACTTTATTTACTCCAAATAAGAGGTTTACATTACGTCACAAAAACTCAGGAATACTATTTCCTCCTTATCGGGTTATAAAAAAAGTACGCAGCGTTTAATCTAAGTTAGCTAACGGTTGTAAGAGATGCGTAGCACAGCGTACCTATTCGTGAACTGGTGCGGATGCGTAACCGGAAGCCTTCAACTAGGTGTGTCCAGTAGATCTAATGCGGTCGTTATCAAATGTCGAAGGCTTACAGAACTGTTTATTTTTAGGATTTACTTACTGCTACACAAGCATGTTTTGCTCGCCAAGACCGTTATTACCGAGTTTACCGGAATAATGCAGTTAAAGTATCAAAAAGAATATTGTATTCCAAATAGTCTATGTCTGCATACCTTTCGTAAATACCTTATTTTGTGATAAGTCAACCCAAAAATAAATGTTTTATAAGTCTTGGACACTGATACCTACGCCATTGGTTTTGTTGGACGTATCCTGGCTGGAGGTGCTCGGTCATACACCCGCAACAGATCTCTATTCGTTCCGCCGAGCAACACATCACTCGCAACGAGCCAGCTTAGATCAGTCACTTCTCTATATGGCGAATACTTTCCAAATTTACCCTCGAAATCCTTCACTCCTAACTCCTGATTCGGCTCTGTTGGTACCGTTCGATTATAGGGGTGTTACAAGCAAAAACATTGTCAAACCCGTTGTATCTGCAACTTAAAGGCTGGATCCTACAGACCTCCAAAAACCGAGGAAACAAAATGGGAACAACTGTCAACCTAAGAGATTGTTTTCAACATCTAATTCATCAACCGACTCGAATAATTTGAACCATACAAAAGGCAACCCTCATATTATGACATGTTAAATGAGGTTGGCTAAACGTAATTTTACTAACCCCATGTGACAACAAAGAACCAAGAAGTGCAAATCGGTGAAATTCATTTAAACCACCTAAATTCCGCGACGGATGTTGAAAGGTTTTCATATTCTGGAGATATAACACTCAATGGCGGAAGCTGTGATTCTTTAGAATTCACAACCACGACATCCATTCTAAAAACCTCAGAAATTACTTATATAGGTACATGGAGCGTTCAGACAATGTACGCGATCGAAAACATCAGTTAACTAGCATCGAATATGAGAAGATATAACCTACAATACTTGAAATCCATGGTAAGCAACTTGAGGAGATGTTGTAATTTGGTCATGTAGAATGAAACGACTTGCCACATACGAGATGTTGAGCTGATTCAGTTCACAGAAGCCCAAGAAGTGCCTACCGGATGAGAATGTCGTGGATCCAGGATCTTCAAATCATCCTTCAAAACAAAGAAGGAAGAGGCTACAATGAATAAATTCTTCACAGTGAATTCGAAAAACCTCCATCAACATTCACGAACAGTTTCTGAAGATATGAAGAGCAAGTCGATTCCTTACGTCTGAGGTAGACTTTAGAATTATTTCAGACACACGGTACTCTGGGTTTACTCAAACTATTAATCTCGTTGGACCTTATTTATTAGATGACTTCTTTTCCGGATCTCGCAGATGTAGTTTATGATTTCATGAGAAACCCACGTGCCAACTGCAGGAACTTAGTTAAACGTTTTTTTAGACTGGTTTCATGGTTGGAGAAGGGTAGACATCCTGACCCTTATTTAGCTATGGCCATCCTCCTCTCATAACAAGTGGCAGTAGGCACCTTCCTGTCACTGCTAGTTTGAATGGAACCAGTCTATTGACATCTGGTTTCTTTTTGACGCTCTCATACATACACTGTATGTAAATAATAATGCTGCTTGCGAAATACAATTAGGAGTAACCATTTCGTCAAATAATTTTTATTTTACCCTAGCTATGTGATAATCGGTAGGTCGGTTATACTGGTTACATTCTGAATCTAATTAGTGAATTATTTTCAACCATTCGGTGTTACTGCTGAATATTGAGGTTTTTTAGCCAACAAAATCTTTGCCGTGTCTCGACAACATATCTGGTTTTACATGGTCTCCTCTACGCACTATTAAACCATCTTATCTGTAAGACCACTTGTGACACCTAGGAATAAGGTATCAGTCATCATCTAAAAACCATATGAACTGTGACAGATCACAAGGTGAATGAACCAAACGTAACTGGAACAGATTGAAATATCATTTCATTACTGAGCTGTGAACTACGACAAAAAGCGTTAAGAATTAGGACGACTAAACAGGGGAGCCTTGTAAAAGTGGGTTTCTTCTTTCCTAACATAAGGTTGCAACATATAAAACGACTAGTAAAATACATGCATTTCAAAATATAAGTGTCAGCTGCGTATATACAAATACCGTATGACCAATGCACTCAAGATTCTGGTTTAGTTACATTTGACCTAACGTATTCATATAATATAGCGATACCCAAGTCTTCAATTACAGCAAATTAAATGTGCTTCAGTCCCAGTGGCTCATGATCAGATTAATTGTCATTCTCGTTACCCTCACACGTTGTAATCACTTATGTGGTAGCTATATCAGTTGGTCATGTGGATAGATTGGTCTCCAAATTGAAAATTTTGCACTATAAAACACATTTGAATCTTTGAGTCTGTCAGAAACTTTAAATACCTTTGCCCATCCCGATACGACGATGTCCTTAATTTTATCATACTATCTTTATCAGAATTATTATGTTATGGTTTGCATCTCCAACAACATGTCGTACATTAAGCGCAATACGTTTAAGAGAAATTATCGATTTAAGTATTTTTGAGTGATTACGAACTCCTCCCAAATAACCTGAGTAAATTTATAAATAATAAAAGCCGATCATAATCAATATAAATTAAATAGGAAGTTAAAACAGTTATGAAAACTAATTTATGTACACTTAATAATTAGTCAAATACTATGAAAATAGCGATCGAATATGTCTACTTCTTCTGTAGCATACAATTTAAATGTTTTTTTAAATGTTGATTTTTCTCAAACACTTTAACTCCAATTCGACGTAAATTTCATTTCAACATCAAGTTACTTATGATATCCAGTAATAAAAAAGAGGCTTATTATCTCCATAAAATATTTTACGACCAATTTATTTCCATCTAGTTCATTTGATGTTAATGAGTGTGTTTAATTAATACAGTACATTTTTTTCCTCTGAGGATATTCATTTCTTGATGTCTGCCAATTTATTCACATGATCAATGTACAAGTTTCTACTCAAATAGCAACTGTCTTTCAGTTCTTTGGATTGATTAAATACAAAATTGCCTCTTGTGTTCATTGGACATTGGACATAATTTAGTTCAATATCGGACTCGTGATTATAATAAGCGATTTGTCTGAATGGATTTAACTTTAAAACATATTTCAATAAAAGAAGTAATATAATTACAATGAATAAAGTTAATAAAGTAAATATCACAATTGAAAGACCATGGGAGAACTGTGTAAATTTTGAGTAAGTTGGTTGTACATCTTCAAACGATATTCCAGAGGTAGTCTGATCGTTTGAGGAATGTAATGTTATTGGCTTATGAGAAATCGAGGATACACATAATGATGTTGTACTATTTGTAAAACATTCATAACCATAAGGGCATTTCTTTGTAATGCAGCTGTATTCTTGAGCATCACAATTTTGTCCACCATAACCAGATGGACATACACATTGATAACCGTTTACAAAATCTTTGCAAAGTCCACCTGGAATTCAAATGATGAAGAGCAAAATAAAACATCCGTTATACACCAACTACACTTGCATAACTTTAACATACCCAAATTGATTTGCTGCAAATCAATTACAGTAGATAATTTTAGGACTACTGCTATCATTTTGTTGAAGATTTGATATATTCCACTAGTTCATTTCACAAACAAGATTCTACATTCATCTTTATGTATACTAAATACATCAGGATCATGTCATAATATTTACTCGAGTCATCTATCTAATGTATTTTGAGAAGGATTTATACCACTACCCCATGAAACATTAATTTCTATTTAAACATTTAGGATTGAGTCCATTCATTTACAAATAAAAATGAATATCATCGACTTTCCTTTAAGTCAGTATCATTTTGTCTGAAGACAGGATCATTTAAGTGTATTATAATCTGATCGACTTCCTTTTAGACATTTGTAGAACTGATATCATTGGTTTCTACCTCCGTTGAATTTACTCTATTAAGCTAACAAGTTATCATAGCCCCCTCTCGTTCAATGTTTATCAGTTGTTCTGTAATCAGCCTGTCTTTGCATAAGGGTTATTGATGAGAATACGAAGCCCGTTTTTTTGTGTCTGATTAGAATTTGGGCAATATGACTGAAGAACTTAATTTACTTCAATTACAAGCATGAATGTTATATAAAACTTTTGGAAACATTAACATAGAGTGGAAATACTACTTAACTAAATTGGTTCATTTACTCATTACATATAAATCGTGAGTTTTACACAAACTGTCTCAGATGTCTATTTAGCTCTCACCTTATAATACTACGTCTAAATTAATATCAATGTATGAAGTATTTTTTATGCATGATTGTACATTTGACAATGATATCATTATTTCTGCCACCCTTAATAAAGTGGTGTAGTTTGAATAATAATCTCTCAATTTTAACCAATCCATGAGTTGAATAAAGTTTAGATCACATACATTCTTCTTTCATATCTCTTCTAATGTAATGGAAATTGTTAAACAAATTTAAGACCAATTTATGATATACCACGGAGAAAATGTAAAGTACAAATCGTTTATCGTACCAAAGAAAAATCAGTAAGTGTTAAAGAAAATTTAACATACCATTTTTGCAAGGCTTTTCAGCACATTCATTGATGTTGATTTCACAGTTGGAACCTTCAAATCCTGGAGGACAGATACATATGAACTGTTGGTCATTTGAAGGATAGCTTACATCACTCATTTCTCGTTCTTTACACAGTGACCCTGTTGCCTGACATGGAAACTGTTCGCAGGTTGTTTGGTTGAACTGACAAAGATTTCCATAATGACCGGGGTGACAGTGACAGGTTGTCTGAAATATTGGAAAACAACAAAACTTATTACAGATTTTCTTCCTAACTTAGTTTTTAACAGAACTACGTCCATATAAAGACATTTTCTTTTGTTGAAAATGTCCTTTCTGATTTTTAATCTTATCCGTTAGAAAAGAAAGAAAATTCATTCAATTTTGACTTTTTCAGATATAATAAGTTAGAAGCTTATTTATTCTTCTAAAATTTTGAAAAGTGAATGCTAAAACCAATGCTAGACCGTTATATCCTAACGGAGAATAAATGAATGGCAACTGCTAGGAGTTATTTGTTGACTATTATTACGTATATTCTTATAGGATAATTATTAAGTAACTATATTATATGTATATTCATATTCCTTTTATTGTAAGCCTCCATTTGACCTGTTAACTGGCACTATACGATTCACTATTCTTAGGTTATTCCCAATCTATTAGTTACAGTATTACACAATCACAGCCACTTTTTGGCCTGGTGTTGTACAATTGTTGTTTTCTGTTTTATAGTATCATGCGATCTGGTTTGTCTGTATATAGACCAAATATGTCTGAAATACATGATTCATAAAATGGGAGCTGAAATTGTGTTCTGGATTAAAACGAACAGGAATAGGTGAGAAGAACCAATAAGTGCTCAGAGTTGACTCTAGGCTGCACATACTGGTTTATGCGTCATTGGTTTGGCAGAGTGCCAATATCATATAGGTCGGTATTCTAATTGACAATTTAATCACGTGATATATTCTCAGAGCATAAGAACATAATATAGACCACGAAACGTCACTCAGTGATCTAAGCTTTAATCGTTATATCCTTATTGTTACTGCAAAATACAATAGATTTTCGATACAACAATATGTTTTAGACAATATTGTTATAATACTGAAGGCGTTAATCCGACATTTAACATTGATTTCCACTATATTACACATACATCATGGCAAGTGTAAACTAGCACAACATCTATCTCGAGGGTTTTTTTGCTAAATGATTCCAATAACCCAATATAAAACGAAATGTATTATAATATTAAGTTATCAGGACTGGTGATGACATGGTAATTTGAATGATGAAGTTTATCTCAATTACAGTCTAGACAACATGGTACTTCTGAGTGACCACTTAATGTATAGGCTTAATTTAATTTATAAACAATTATAAGTATATAATTATAGAAGAGAGAGCACTAAATTTTTTATCATAGTACAGTTATGCTGTTAAAAAATTAAATTAATCTAAAAGATTCCTCTAAGAATGGTTAAACACGAAAATTAGTAAGAAAATTGTAAAGATTACTGTTACTGTAGTGTGGTCTACTTATATCCATATAACTAGTGTATGGTGATGGCCAGATATAGAATGTATTTTGGCAGAAGATCGATAAGGAACGAACAGGAATGAAGTGCGATCGGTACGAAAATGTATGAACAATAATAATAATAAGAGAAGACGGACCGATATTTACAGAAGAAACAGGGAAGATTGAGACAATTGATTGTTATTTTGCAAATTAGTTGTCAGAATTTAGTGAGATAGTCTGTAATTTGTGCTTAAACACATTCGATTGTCCCCATTCGTGTTTAGTTCACTACATTACGAAGGTAATTAAGAAGAAACAAACTATTCAAATTTGAATGCTAATGCCAACCGTAATTACAATATACCTTATTTAACTGTTATTTATATTATAATAACAAATTATATTCACCTTGTTAAGTTTACAATATGGATTTTTAAAAGAAATTTGAAAAAAAAGCTCTCATACATTCGATCAAAAAAATAATTAGTGAACAGTAATAAAACTTGGTGTTACATAATTAACCTTCAGTTACTCCGCTTAATTTTTTTAAGTGCCCTTTTAATTTATTTCTTTTTATTAAATGAACATCTCTTAATTTAACTGAAATAATATGGATATTCAAATGAAAACTCAACAATTGACCCTTACTTTACAGGGTATAGTAAATTTGAACTCTTTTCGTTAAAAACAAATTAACTATGATCTAAAGAAATAAAAATATTTGAAATACCTCCGTTTTTGAAAAGCTTAAATTTATAACCTGAAAAACCTCTGATAATGTACAGTTTTGGTTAGACTAAATGATTATATTACATTTAATTAATAATTAAGAGCAATGATATTCAATGAACTTACCGATCCCATTTCATTCACAATACATTCTCCATTTTCATTGCATCCATGTACTTTACAGTCATAATCAATTATTTCACAATGATCACCATGATATCCAGGTGGGCAAATACATTGATAGGGTACACCAATATTTGCATCATTATTTACACATATTCCATTATTACTGCATATATTTAAGTGACTACTGCAATAACGTAAGTCTAAAATAAAATTTAAGTAATATTAGGATGCTAAACCTAGTAGACTTGATATTTTATTCATGATTAAGCAATATTAAATCCCGTAGAACAAAGAAAACTTGATATTCACTGAAAGTAAATATATATAAAGTCAGGTGGTCAAAGCAAAATATTTTCCTATACATCTGAAAACAATTTGGAAGTGATTAGTATTAAATGTTAATCTGGTTGAGTTTCAACTTGCTTTGCCTTTTTTTTAAATCCCTAAACCATATGTCACAAGATTTTGTGATACTAACTTAAAGGTATATAGGTTACATGAACATTTGTATTTCAATCCTTAGTGATCTCAACATTTTCCACTTTCCATTGGTTGATTTAATTATATTCATTGACACACTAACTACATAATTCCAATAATCTAGACATCTTCCAACATAAAATCGTTAGATTACACATATTTTAACCAAGGAGAGTTTGGAGCAAAATCAACGTCATGAAATTGAAAAGCAGAAACAATTTAAGGTCAGTATTGAATAATAACGTAGCTCGACGACAGGTTTCCTAAAATAAAGCTTTCTTTTTATGCCATCATAATCTAGAATAAAAAAGAGTGTAGTAGAAGTTTGTGACAGATGAATAAATGTATTGTATGATCTAAAAATTAGCATCATTTAGAAAAAAACATTTTTTACTAGGAAAGTTTTAAAGATAAACATGAAATATTTACGAGTGCAGTGAGGTTTTCATAAACTTATTCAGATTACAAATGTACAAAATTAAAGAAGTGGACGTTTCTGTGAGTAAATTTTGTAGTCCTGAGACACTATAACGTTAACCTCATCTTTGTGTCATCATAATGGTTATTTTCAGTCATCTCCCTTATCTTTCGCTCTAAAGATTTGAGTATTAGTAAAACCTTATACTTTCGTAAAAATTATATATATATATATATATATATATATACATATAATTACTTTACCTTTGTCGCATAACATGCCTCCCCAGCCATGATTACACTCACATGTGAAAGGAATAAGCGTATAGTTACGTTTACTAACTTCACAACCACCATGAAGGCATCCAGGATAAACACGACATTGGCTGCAATCCTTTCCATACCAACCGCTATCACAACTAAACATGTAGAAAAAGAATATTGTTATAATGAATCAAGTTGATTGGTGACATTTTAAAACTTTATTATTAAAATCATATAAATGTGGTTATTTGTAGATGAAACTCAATAAATGAACCTTTCAAGTGGACAATATAGTGATAGTAGAATTCTAAGATTAGGATATAAAATTTGGCATGATAACTTTACTAATTAGCTATAAAGTCAATACTATAAAGCTATATTTATGCACAAATTAAAACTCACTGGCAATAATCCGGCTTTACACATCTTCCATGTAGACACCCAAAGTCACATATAGCTTAAATTATAAAAAAAGTACAACATATTTCAGAAATTAGTTCATTTTTCTAGATGAAAACGATATTTAAGTAAATTATTCGTTTACGTAACAAAGGAATTTATAAAAGATCTTTTTCTAGAACCGGTCTACCTATCAATGTAATCAGTTATATCGGCATTATAATTAAAAACCATAACCGATCTCAACCATGGACCTTTCCTTAACATAACTATTAGGATAATGTTATTGTTATAACTTGTGGCCTATATGCCCTGTTCATATATGACGTGGTGATGCCACCAACTATTCATTCTCTGATATACAAATTAATAATGATCACGGGTAATTGGATAAAAAGATTTTATTATTATTACGAATTCTAATAAAAGGGATTTATTCAAACAATCACTTTTTTATTATCTTTTTAACACTAATTCTAATTTCAAGTTGTCATTTATAGAAATAGTCAACACATTACAGTTGTTACTAACGCATGGTACTTCTTTGTAATTTCTTATTTTTTCTCTTTAAAGTGAATAACAAACATATTGACACTTTTTATAAAGTGTTAAAAATTATCATTTTTATATCCCGAAGAGAATTATGAATAGTACCTTTTGAGAACTATTATGAACCAATAATATGTGTATATTTTTATTGTATAATTGTTAAATAACCATGCTATTCGTATTTATGTTCCTTATATTATAAGCTTTATTTTGACCTATAAACTGTTATTATACGATTTATCACTCTTGAGTTATGCCTTGTCTATCAATTTCTATCTCCTTTATTCACAGACACATTTGGCTAAATATTGTACAAATGTTATTTCCTATTTTATGATACGTTGTGGTCTGTCTGTCCGGTATATGAACCCATTATGTTCGAAATAAACGATTCATATCGCAGAGGTTGTTATTGGTGTTCTGGACTTAACTAGCTGGGCTAGGTGGAGAGCAGTACCGATAAGGACTCTGGACTGCTCGTACGGGTTTTGCGTGTCATTGGTCCGATTGATAATTCACTGCTCTCTAATTAGTGGCATCGTCACTTCATATATTAATAGGGCACACAGGCTACAAGATATAACAATAATAATGTTAATTACAAGATCTATTGCTCTTAAACTTTGAATTACAATAAGATTATGTGATTAACAGTTCTACAAAGTAAAATCTAAAATAATGTTTTCCTGTATTTTCCATTTAAATGACACTCATAATAACCATTGGTAGGTAACACAAAATTGAAATAGACTTAATACTCAAGTTTTAAAATGAAATCATTAGGTAGGTAACTAGAAACTTATTGATTAGCATCAAATTGTAATCTATCCATTCCTCTACCTTGAATTTTGAGAAAAGAACGAGGCATAAAGTGCAATACGAACGTCAAGATAGTCCTACTGTACGGAGCTGAAACGTGAAGAACTATTACATCCATCGTCAAGAAGGTAAAAGTATTAATAAACAGTTGTCTATGCAAAATACTCAACATTCACTGGCCGAATGCTATCAGCAACAGCCTACTATGGGTGAAGACAAACCAGCTTTCAACTGAAGAGGAAATTAGGAAAAGACGTTGAAAGTGGATAGGACATACATTAAGGAAATCACTAATGTGCATTACAAGGCAATCCCTAACATGGAATGGTGAAGGGAAGCGTAAAAGAGGAAGGCCAAAGAACAAATTATGCTGGGACCTAGAAGCAGATATGAAAAGGATGAATAACAACTGGAAAGAACTGGAAAAGATTGCCCAGGACAGAGTTGGATGGAGAATGCTGGTGAGAGACCTATGCTCCTCGACGAGGGGTAACAGGCGTAAGTAAGTAAAGTACAATTAAGAATGTTTGTATAAAAATTAAACATTTGTTCAATTTGATTATACAATAATGTAGATACTAGATGTCTGAAATATTGACTACTTAAAAAAAAAGAATATTTAAAATCATTTTCAAACTTTTCTAATAATTCAAAAGATTCTATTTCAAATGAATAAAAGTTTAATAAAAAATCATTATAACTCACCTTCAGTACATGTTTTACCAGTCCAACCATATTGACATATATGTTTACCTGTTTGTTCATCGCATTTATAATAACCATGAATTCCATTTTGTTCTTGACAATATATTTCACAATAATTACCATAAAAATTATTATTACATAATACTTGATAGTGAATACTTAATTCTTCATTTGAATTACTTAAATTAAAAATATTATAAGTAGTATTAGAAATTTTTTTCAATTTTTGATAATATTTCTGTTTTGATGGATATACATTTTTCAATGATAAAATGTAATATATTTCATCATTCTCTAAAATTTAAGTAGAAAATATACGGTAATTAGTTTGCTTTTTTTAGAATACAATCTGTAATAAGATCATGTAATGAAATTATTGAAAGAAAAATTGATAAAACTTAAAATGGGGTTTCTATTTTGTTTTTCTGGAGATTTTTAGTAATTTTTTATACATAGTTGAAATCATGAGTCAATTGAAACTAGACCACTATAGAAAACCTGGAAGTACTGGACGGCCGTTTCGTCCTATTTTGGGACTCCACGATGTCGTCTCATGAGATTCGAACCCAGGACCTACCAGTCAAGATCGTGGATGTGCACTGCTGAGGAGTCCCACAATAGGATGAAACGGCCATCCAGTGTTTCCAGGTTTTCTATTGTGGTCTAGCTTCAATTGACTCATGATTTCAACTATATATAAAAAACTTATAATGGTTGTCATTAGTGAAACAAAAACAAAAAAAGAGATATATGAGGAAACTAAAATGAACTATCAATCCACTTCAAAAAGGGTTTTGCGAATATGATAGTGATTTCCAATGATTGAAAACACGAGTCAATTGAAGCTAGACCACAATAGAAAACCTGGAAACACTGAACGGCCGTTTCATTCTATTGTGGAACTCCTCAGCAGTGCATATCCACGATGTCACCCTATGAGAATCGAACCCATTTCATTTAATTGGTATTAAACAACTAAATTCAATCATTAATTTATATTGGATGATTATAATTGAAAGAAATTTAACTTACCTCTTGATAGTTCGAATTACAATAGAAACTAGCTTAGTTATCAATTAGAAAATTTGAACAAAAATAATTTTAACATTTAACAATTATAGATCTATTATGAAAGATGAATTGGCATAACGTATAGCTTTATTTATTTGGCTTTCAACTACAATAGTTTTCAGAATTAGTGATATTACTATAGCACTCAAACAGAAGTAGTTTTCAAGGTATTCCCAGCTACATTATCATTTTAAATTAATTAATAGGAAGGTTAAGTGAATGGTAAAATGTTGTTGTTTGTTAAATTTGTTTTCTTTTAAAAAATTGAATATGTTACACAGTGTAAATTCAATTCAAGTGTTGTATTAAAATAAACGTTTCTTTTTGTAGACAATAAACTTTTTGGATTTGTCTGAAACGTCTAAAGATTACCTGGTTTAAAATATAAAGCATTCGGCTTTGACTAAGTAATTTATTTTCCTGTAGCATTTAGAGGTCACGGGTAAGACCTCGTATAAGTTTACTGATGAATACATCTAAGGAGTCTTAGAACACGGCAAAATAGTTATTCTGTATCCTATGGTTTCTATTAATTCTTTCGAGAAAACTGACTTCAACTACGTGTTGGTAATATTAAGAAAGTAACTTATATTCATCAACTTCTTTAGAATTTTAGTGCTTGATTTTAAAGGGAATATAATATTTAAGAAATGAAAAGTTTCAGTGTATTTTTCGAAACGCTCGCCAATAAATTATTATGGTACGAGTTTTATGCAACGTCAATAATGCGAATAATTATTAATGACAAATAATTATCTGGAGTTGTTCGTTAAAATTAGGAAGGAACCTATATGGTACACTCGTTGAAAAATGATCCTTAGTAGCTGATATAACTAGAGAAACTACAGAAATCACAGGATGTTATAAAATGCAAGTTATACCGAATGAGTCACTGATTCATACTATTAAAGTCACCGTTTATATGTCTATTCTATGTTCATCTAGCCATCTATAAGTATGCAATTATTCAATTTTCTCAATGCAGCATTCTGTGCTGTCCCATTTTATCTCTATTTTATTAAGTTGGTCAAGTGATAATAATGCACATAGTAACTGAATCAGACTAAAAATAGAAACATTTAAAATAAATTTAGACCATTAATAATATCTTTATATAAATTCACTTAGTATTACTTGTTTGAATCTTCCCATTGATGTTTAAGACTGCGACTGATCAGTCTCTTATTGGCATATGTGTATACTGTGCGTATTGCCTCGATATGGCCTTAATCCACAAGCATTGTCAGCAAAGATGGATAGTGGCTAGCAGTCAAATCCAGGACGCGCGTTTCGTCCTATTTGGGAAGATTCGAACAAGTAATCATAAGTGAATTTAAACTTCACCCCATTACACAAGCAAGTGGATATCAGGACTCAGTAGCTGAGTGGATAACGCGATGGTGTTTGAAGTGAAAGGTACTAGGTTCGAGTCCCAGAGTGAACATCAACTCTGAGATGCACGCACATCTAACCGACGAGTCCCAAATAGGATGAAACGCTCGTCCTGGATTTCAATGCTAACCACTATCCATCTTTGCTTACAATAACTTTATTTATCTCAGCCAACAGTGTATGCATAAAAGACAAACTACATTACAGTAACTCAGAAAGATTTTGTTTAAATTCAAAAAGTGTTTATCTTTTTTTTGTTCAATTTCAACTTTTACTTATTTATAAAGGACTTTAACAATAAGGACTTCATGATTATCAAGAATGTTTTTTTTATATTTTATTATAAATACTAATAAACATACGTGAATTTGTATTCGCCACACAACACCTTTTGAATTGAATAACCAATAAAATATCTACCTGTAAATAAAATATTCAACATTTAATTATTTAAATATAGTCGAAAAACAATTATGATAATCAAGACAATAATAGTATAGTGGTAATAAATAAATTTTTGATTATTTAACAGTTATGATTTTTTTAATGGATAATGTTCTTTTTTGATGCTTCATCTTCTATATTTTATTTATTTGAGTACATAAATATTGGTACAAAAGGCGTCGAAAACATATGCACCACACAAGAAACTTCGTTTGTGTGTGGGCTGTGATACCGCACGGGTGTCCAGACTGAAGCAGGTGATTTTATTAGGGGGTCACATCCGGAGCCTTTAACCTGAAGGTTTAATCCACAAGACAGTGGGGAAACGTCAGGAGATGTCGTCACATGATAGCCGGTGACCAATAATTGGTTCATACGTCATTTGTACCCTCAGGATACTGGAACCCATGTGCACTATTAAATTGGATTCAGGGTTTTCCAACTCCCTTAGATGGATACTCCATATCCATCAACCCGGTTAAATCGCCGGACATTCGATTTTCGTCTTCTCAATTTTATGAACAACACCTCTGTTGCAAGAAGGCAATGAGCAGGATTTCTCTGACAGTGGCTGTATATGTATAGCCATGTGAAAGCATTTAGAGATGGAGAGCGAACTCTTCCCACCCTCGTCCGTTCCATGGCATTTGGGGGGGGATTTCATTTGAATTACATTCCTTCTGATGTCGATGATTATCTTTCTTTCAATGCAGTTCATCACTTTTTTCAAGAATTTAGATCGAAATTTTAAGGTATTGTAATTACAAAACAACGTATTCATGATCATAATACAAGTTCATCTACAGTAGTTGAGAATTTATTTGTCATTATTGCATAATTTGCTAAAGCTTAATTTAGAAAATTGATCTAACTTACGTATCAAATAAAACTAAAATTTAGTTCTTATTAATTAGTTCTCAGCATTCTTTAGAAACCATAAACAGTATGAAATGTGCTTGTTTTTATCCAACTGGATCTAATTAATAATATTTTCTCTACGAGAATTCTTTTTAGCCATTAAAATTGCAAACGTTAAAAACAATTTGTTTGAGCAAAGTGTAATCTCATACTTGTTCACTTTAAGGAGCCAACCAAAAACAAATGTAAAGTTATTAAGGTATAAAAACTTGAAAGCTTTCAAAAGTTTAGATCCGGATGCGACTAAACGGTCAATGAACATCGTGTTTGTTGTATATATATATATATATATATATATATATATATATATATATATATATATATATATATATATATATATTAAGCAGCAATAAATGAACTCACAGGCCAGACATCTTTATATACTATTGATATGTTGTTTCTAGTATTATTACTGAGGAAATTTAATTTCGATAGTCTTTCAACTGTGACTCCATATTTACAATGTGTAAAATCATTAAAGCCCCACAAATCAGAAAATGGTGACAAACACATCTACAATAGAAGAAATTAAAATAAATATATTGAATAATGTTTGCAAATTTCCATTTGTTTTAAATAATAATCATTATATTGGACATTGAACTGAAGTTGTTACAAACCCTTCGTAAATATTTATCTTTAAGATAAAAATAAATCTATCAAATACCAAGAATCTTCAGAATGTAAACTATATACGTGTATATTACTTTATCCAAGAAACAGCAGGATTAGCAGTCTCCAAGCATTTTGCTAACCATGTTATTATTCATTTTGTCTGCTTTTAATTTACTCTTAATAGTAGGCCAGTTTTATGTTTTTCACTTGAGCATTTAATTTTTTTTGCTAATTCCCCTTATTACCTATTATTTTCGTTTACAGTTTTTACCGGAGTTATCCGTTACTTCAACATTAACTTTCGTAACAACTTTTATTATTTATCACTTAGCAAAAATAACCAATTCTGAATACCATATTTTGGTGAGCTGAGGATAGGATTGATAAAAGGTGGTTTTAGAAAGCTTCTCCTCAAGTAATTTGTTTTATAGTTCAGACTTTGTAATAGAATTGCCGAAGCACTAATTTAAAAGAATAGTTAGCATCAAGGATTCTTTCAAGATGTTAACTTATAAGGTGAAAAGTAAGATCCTGATATACAACAAATTGAAAAACGACCAAATCACATTTGTTAGCAAAGCTCTGGAAGAGGCTGAAGCTTTTACATATCTGGATAGTACTATTGATAAACAAATAGGTCTAATGAACACATGAAAGCATGGATTGGCAAAGCAAAGACACCATTTCCACGATTGTAGAGATTACGGGAATCAAAACAGATCTCAACCAAAACCAATGTCAGAATTTTAAATACTAACATTAAGACAGTTCTATTGTGCAGAGCAGAAACTTGGAGAACCACAACCAACATTAAACGGTGCAGGTAGTTAAGAACAGATGTTCACGCCAAATACTCCAGATCCGTCGACCGGATACCATCAGAAACAGTCTACCGTGGGAAAGAGCAAACCAGATTTTAGTTGAGGATGGAGTTAGGAAAAGACGCCGAAGGTCACACTTTACGGAAATCAACAAACTGCGTCACAAAGCCAGGCCTAACTTTCAATTGTCAACAAAAAGGAACGAGACAAACCAAGGAGCATATGGCCTTGGAGATCAGAATGGAGCAAAAAGGCAATAAAATGCTTTCGGGAAGATCTGTAGACGGTAGTATAAATAGGTTTGGTTGGAGATCCGTCTATGCCCCACGATAGGTAACACGCCTCGTTAAATCAATTTTTTATTGCCGATGAATGACTATCAATAAAACTTCTTTGGTTGGATCTCTATTTTTATGTTTTATTGAAACAATCGCTAAAAAAGTGATTGAAGTGCCGTTTATTTATCGATCGGTTGATTGACCAAGTTTATCGACTTAACCGTTGAATTAGAACTAGGCTTTAAAAACTTGTTTACCATAATTGAAATTCACTTATCCCCATACTTAAAAACAAGAAGAACGATGATTACCATAAGTTCATCGAAAGTTTTATTGAATCGGTTTTCTACCAGAAGTGTATCCGGTTAATCAGAAAATCGATTTAGTCAATAAACATCAAGGTTTCGGAAAACACATAGTATTTTGATACATTTCAAAACGTTTGTTATTAATAAACTAATTGATGCCGTTTAGTGTAAAGGATAAGATGTAAACCACAAGAAAATTAACAACCAATATGAGCAACAAATTATGATAGGTAATACGTCGGATAGAATATATTCTCCTAAATCTACTTATTGTTGAATAAAACAGTTCAACAGAAAAATATTTTATCTCCAATATCATTTAATCAGTTTGTTTTATTACAAAATTCAATTATATAAATATCATTAGATATCATTAGTTTAGATAGACAGATATAGATATCATTCGTTTTAGATATAGATATTTATCATTAGTTAGATAGATAGATATCATTACTTTTTACATACTTTCATTGCTTTTTTTCTACAGATCTTAGAAATATTGCTCGCATCTGCTGGGATCACAGGGTGAGTAATAGTGAGGTTAGACACAAGGTATTAGGAAATGATGGTAAATCAGTTGATGAGGTTGTGAATCTTTATCGACTGAGGTGATTGGGCCACGTGTTACGTATGCCTGAACACTGATTACCACGACGCACAATGCTGACTAGTATTGAGGATGGCTGGAAGAGAGTTAGGGGAGAACAAACCACGTTGGTAGATGAAGACTACTTGATTGGGGTCCGTGTGACCATCGTAACCAATGGTTGGAGACTCTGTGTGACATGGCTCAGAATCGTTCACAATGGCGCAGGTGAATACACTCTCTATCTTCTCTTAAACTATGAGATTAAAATTGCTTCATATATGTCTTTCTTCCTGTACTATATCTTTATATACAATCTTTCTTTTAGATATTACCACCACTAAATTAACTACTTCTATGAATTCGGTGTTGATCTTGTTGTGCTAATGAGGTACGGCAACTTAGACCGATGTATATATATGCCTGGTCCTACGTTGTAGCTGACTAACTGACTGACAGATCTCTGATAAATATCACATAAGAAGGATTAATGGCATTTCTGAAAGATTCAGCTAAAAAAAGGATTGTAATCTCAAACTTTCTTGTCACCTTAAAAATATGAAAATTAAAATTTCAAAACTGTACTAGTAAAATGAATATGTCTATTATTTAAATGTTCCTCACTTCAATTTGAATATTGAAAATCATTCATGTTTAGTGAAATCTCAACTTCATATTTCTACTTTTAATATGAACTATGAGCATCAAGTGATCATAATTCTTTTTTAATTTCATAGCTTCAATATTTAATAATGTCAAATTAAAAGCTTGATTGAATGAATGGATCATTCTATTTATAGTAATAATTATGTTAGCTACAAAGTATATTATACTTATCTGAACTCACTTTGACAGAAATACAACTGTCTAAAAATGGTGAAAGTAATTTATCATCTTTTTCATAATAAAGAGAATTATTAGACTGATGGTCTATTGAATGAATTTCTGAATGTTTACATGAAAATAGACGTAAAAAATTCGATAAGTTATGTGGAATTATATTAAATTGAAACAAGACATCACCTTGAACAATCTGAAATACAAAGAGCAAAAAATTAAATTTAAATTGAATAAAATAGTTAATCTTAATGTTATTCAACTCTAAAGTATAAAACTTACTATAACTATATAATGAAGCTCTTATATAATTATCGGTTGCACATAGTTAACTGGTAACAAAAAGCTACATTAAGAAAACTTAATATCGTCTCAGCGGCCTATAGGTTAAGCGTTCGTGCACGAGATCAAAGATCCTTATTTCGAATCCCTCATACAGGATTGTGGATGTGCACTGCTGAGGAGTCCCATACTAAGATGAAACAGCTGTCCAGTGCTTCCAGGTTTCCAATGGTAGTCTATCTTACACCAACACACGAATTTAAATATTAAAATAGAATACTTAATAACATTTAACAATTATTGTCTCTTAGTAATTATAATAGGAATAATAAATTTACTCAATATTTTACTTTTAGTCACAATAAAAATTTTGAAAGATGAAATATAAAAGCTTTCGTGTTTTGATCATTTATCTTTTAAACATTTAAAATGTAATCTATGTAAAAAAATTTCTTAATGAAGTAATCTGAAAGATTGAGAATTCCATAAATCCGACGTTTCATCCAACAATTATGTTTGAATCCCTTCATAGTTATGATTATGTTATAACGTGTGCGTGCGTTCTTGCCCAATTGATATATATGAGTGATATGACCGCCGATGAGAGAGGAGTGAACCATCGATCAGAGCAATGATACCCGAAAGCAGTATGAGCAGTCTTGAGTACTTATCAGTCCTGCTTTCTGCCTAGCACAGCCAGTTAAGTCCAGAACACCAATAACAGCCTCTGCAATATGAATAATTATTCTCAAACATACTGGGTTTATAAACCAAACAAACTGACCATAAAGTACCATAAAATAGAAAATAATATTTGTACAAGATTTGACCAAATGTGGCTTTGAATAGAGGGAACGGTAATTAATGGAGTAGGGATAACTCAAGAATGGTAAATCGTATAATAATAATAACAATCTGATTACACATATACTTGTTAAGAACATTTATATATAAAAAATGAAAGGTCAACTAAATTGGAAATGGAGAGCGAGAGGAGATAAGGATAATAAAGAAAATAATGTGAAAACAATTTGAAACCTGATCATTCTGGATAATAAGGTAATATTACCAGGGTAGGTTAAAGGTGAGAACAAACTCTTCTTAATAGATATATATGTGATCAGATTGTTCGAAATGTATTGCGCTAATATATCATCACATAGTTCCGATAATCTTCATCTTCTTATTACACTATCGGAAAATATGAGTTAATAAGATGTGAATAATGTGAAACATTTACAATGTGAATAAGAATATAAGTGTATGTGTACTTTTATATTAATATTCGTTAAAATATCAGTCTACTACTAAAACCACTTTTCTTTATTTAAAATATAAAGAATAATAGTACAAATTGAAAAGTATTGAAATGTCGAAATATATATGTAAAATAAGAAATGTCATATTAAAGACTGACCAGTTGCAGTCCTAAACATCAATAAGAAGATTAAAACAAACAATACCAAGCGAACTTAAACTTCACCCCACTGCACAAGCAAGTGGCTATCAGGACTCAGTAACTGAGTGGATAATGCGATGGCGCTTGAAGCGAACGATACTGGCTTCGAGTCCCAGAGTGAACATCAACTCTGAGATGCAGGTACATCAAGCTGACGAGTCCCGAATTGGACGAAACCCGCGTCCTGGATTCCACTGTTAGCCACTATCCATCTTTGCTTACAATGTCATATGCATAGTTGTGATCTTTAAACATTTAAATTAGATTTTTTTTAAATAAAGCTACATGTAATGATAAGATTCGAATCAGTTGTTAATAAGTAATTCCTAAAGAGTAGCTAGTTGTATCCTTCCTTTTTCGATCAAACTATTCTGATTAACTTATATGTAGCCAATCTGCTATCACTTTTTATTTGTACGCACCAAACACTTTCTGAATTATTATTAGCTTTATTCAGTATCATATTTCTGGTACAATATAGCATTCTCAGCACAAAGTATTTCAACAAGTTTCTGTTTCTTATTTCCTCGTCGATACTGACGATATATATTGAGTGATCCCCAGTTAGAGGTTAGCAGTCCAGTCAAAGGACATCTAAATAATGTAAATTCTTTTTGCATCATATTCCTAGGAACCACGATGTCTATGATTGGGCCTTTTGGAACTTGTACAACGAAAGGTTGCACACTTTTCAAAACGCACCTGAATAGGTTGTGCGATTAATAGACATAATGATGTTTTAAAACAAACAAAATTAAATATCTAGATGGCAGGAACAGGTAGCCCAGATGTTCAATCAGGCCCTCCAAGCTTCATCTTGTTTCTGACAAATGTAGTGCTATTCATGAAGTTACTATAGGATTAAAGAGCATCTTTTAAACACTACTTGTGTCCTTTCAACCTCACGTTCAACTGTCTAGATATTCTTCTCACATAAATCTTTGTACACTCATAACATTTAATTTCATAGAAAACGTCCTGCTGTTCTTCCTTTGATAATCTAAACTTGACATTAACTAAAGTCGATCTTGGAGTATCACTAGCCACGAAATATATTATATTTATTTGGAATCCTATTGATATTCTCCTACGTTTTTACACGGAATTCGATCACGACGGTGTTCTTCAAAAATCTCACTTTACATCCCAACTCAGTATTTTTTTATGTTTTATATTCTTCTTTAAAAAAACTCTTTAGTGTAGATTTTGCCCCAGATGTAGACAGAATTAAATTTAATTCAATCTGTTGTTCTTCTTCCACTACACTGAGATTACAGCTCCCACTAATTAATTTTTTCCCAGCTGTGGCCTTCATAAAACAAGCATGTATCGATCCATAATCTGAATATTCCTTAGATTTTGATTTCCGGAATACACTAATTGTCATCTTATTGTTATGTCTGCTTTCAGTTCAATAATCGTAAAAAGTTAGTTTGTGGTCAATAGATACTATTTTCTTGGTTAGTTTAATGCAATCCGATATGTTGTTCACAAATTTAAATATTTATTGCAAATCATCTAGCTTGATAATGAAAAAAGTCTCATCTACACACAGCAACAAAACTTTATGCGGAATTACACATATTGTGTCCCAACAAGTTTCTGAGGAATGAATGTATAAATTTACTACAATCAGAGAGATTGACAAACCCATTGCTACATCATTTTGTCTAAAAAGACGGCGAAATAAGATGGACCGTAAACACAATTTCATGCACTTAGTAACCTCGGAATGATCGAACGAGCGTCGTTAAGTTTAAATGCGTAAGATTATCAGAAACCATAAATAACAGCATTGGTCTCAAGTTAGAATAAAAGTTGTTTTTATGGAAGTACGTAAGTACTTACAATCGCATTTCGGTGCTGTACTTTTTTAGTTGGTTCGTATTATTACACTGACTAGTTGTATTCTACCAACTTTTGTATTTTGAAGCCACTAACTAATAGCAAACTAGCACAAGAAGTTATTCGTACTCCAATATTTTAAACTACACTCAACATATGTTTAGTTTATAAGTTATATCTATACAAATGAAACTCCAGTGCCTGATAAGAAAAAACCATAAATAATGAAGAAGAAAAAGCTAAGATCAGGTTTCTCATTATACATGCAATTACTAACAAACTTCAGTCAGTATCTTAAATAACTAAAAGTGAATTAACAACTGAAGCATGTCAAGTGAAACTGTGTTAATGCTTTCTGATAAGTTATGTGAGAAGGTGTACGTACCTCATTGAGTAACTAAATTATTAGTCTAATCATGATAACCATCTGCAAAACAACTCTCTGCGAGACTTTAAATACCCATAAATACATGAAAGTTTTATTCACCGTTCACTTAAATATATGTATTTCGAGTGGTCAAACATCATAATTAACCGTTTATGAATAAATCAGAAAAAGGACACATTTCAGTACGGTACTAGTTATACTTTTATATAATTTAAGATAGAATATCTTTCAAGATGATGATCAAGTCATTTTAGTCTCAATATATTATTGGAACAATTTCATCAATAGATGTCTACTTTTTATCATATGTAGATAGCACATTGTATATTTAATATAAAAATTTTACAATATTAAAAGATTCCTGAATAGTATTGGTATCACATTAATTCCTTTTCTTATGAAAAAAGTACTATGAGTTTTAATTTTATCGATGGAACCCAAATGTTAGAAGCTTTCAAGTTGCTCACAGTACATGTGGCATAGGTTTTTGATATAAATGTTTAGGTATTCTTCACTACATACGCTTAAATTAATACAGTTTTGGCTGTTATATCGAACTTATTTTCCCTTTCTAGTGTACCTTGGTCAATATTTAGGAAGGTGTTTCAATATTAACAAATTATACCCAGACTTTGCCAAACGCTAGAATTCTAATACAAAAAGTAATAAAAGTTATGTGGAATGTTCCATTGGAACTTCTAACACTACTGTGAGAATATTAGCTTAATTTAAAATTTGTAAAGCTCATAGTCTTCACTTGAATCACACAAAAGTTTCAGTATCTTCTACAGTAAATGTCAAAGACAAATAAGTCAGTACATTAATATGATGCATGACATTTCTCAAATTTCTGTCACATACATTACATTTGGTTTATAAGAAATCTTGATAGGTTGCCTAGCTCAGTTAAATGAATGATCAGCCAGATGATTAGACATTATGATTTAAAATTGATCTCATGCGTTCGAAATAATCAATAGAAAGTTTATGTGAGCTTATCCATATGTCTTTCATTATTCAATAAGTTCACGGTAACAAACAGTTCCAGGTACTTTTCTGCTCATTCAATCGACTAGGATTGCACACAAGAATGGAATTGTCATTGAAGATATCCATTGAAGGCCTAACCTCCACAATAAATATGTTTTTCATCCAGCATGTTGAGATACACTAAAGTGTTCATGGAAAATAGACTTGGCTAACTTCAGTTGCTTGAAGCGAA